TGGATGCCATTCTGAGTACAATTTATCCCACACTATCATAGCTAAGTAGATGAGCAACTTCCATCACTTTTATTCCCTTGGTTTTAATGGTAATAGGGATTTCTGTTTATTCGAAAGGGGTCTTGAATCAGTTTTAGTTGTGTGCATCAAACATTGGCCATATGATCCATCTCTTCCTCCACTTAAGTTGACCTTTCAGACTGTTGTGCTGTCAAACGCTACAAGATAATTATGAGTTGGTGTGTGCATCTAAATGGTCAAGATTTTTCTTAAATTACTGATCTTTTTTGCGTCTATCATTCTAAATTTAATTACCTGTCTACACTGTGCTATTCTGACCGACGCCAATCAGTTTGTTTAAACTGCGTACTTCATCTCAAAGTCATTACACGGCATTTGATAGATTATATTATCTTGTTTCATTGAGTTAGTAAGGACTGAAAGCCGAGAAAATTTTTCTCTGGGTGAGCTATTACATTTGAGTGCTTTCTCAGATCTAATGTTATTTAGATTACTTGACAGATTCTAGATGTCCTCATATCTTATGACCAAAGTGTGGAGACTCTGAATTTATCATGGCTCTAATGGGATCCTGAATTAAATTCATGTCAACTCTTCTATGATTTTTCCTTATAAATTCTTGAACTACCCTAGAAGTTACCTAATTTGATAAGAATATGAGCAATAAGCTGTAAACGAAAAGTCGTTCTGTAAACTAGATTGTCTCACTGTGTTACGTGGAACCGATGCAATACCCATGATGTACTTGCCTCTGTTCATTCGCGATAAAGTTGTGCTGTTGACAGAATTTTAACCCAGAGTGATTTCTTGCAATAAACCTATCCTTCTTCAGTTACTTGAAAGTGGTATTAACCCGTCAAACTGAAGATTTTCCAGTTACTTGCTCAAACTGTGTTTAGATAAGATCTAATAAATTCACTTCTCATTTCATCCTAAGAATATTTAACAGTTTTTCACCTGAATGTCTATTAGCTGGCAAACTTTTCGAGTACATTATCGTCTAAAGAAACCCTCCAGTGTTAGGGATACTTAAAAATATTCAAATATCAAGGTCTGTCATGAATAGCCAACAGTATGCTTCAATAAACAGTTAATGATCAGGTAGATTTTAAGCTGGGGTCTTGTTATGTTACTAACACTTGACCAGACTTAAATTAATGTGCACCAGTACCCAAGCAGTCACTGCCTTTCCCATGTTTAAGTACTAATGACAAAAGACAAATTATCAAGTAATTTATGTGGTGAAAAGTACCCAAATAGATAGTTTAACTTATTAGTCAGAGATAAAGAGTTTATATTAGCGGAAGAATGTTAACTTATCTACTTTTTGATGCCTAAGCTAGGACTCTGAGCTAGTGTCTGCCAACCAGAAGAAAGAAGACGGAAAAATGGAGAATGTCAAAGTGTGGATGCCTATACACTAAAAAAACCTAGAGAACTTAATTCATTCGACACCACTGTAAAAGATTATTTAGCTATTACATATTTTGAATATTTATTTATTTATTTTAAGACTAGTATTGTTTTGGTGTCAAGTAGGTGCACTACAAGGTCAATAAACCTTCATTCAAATAGCTGAAATAGACTTATGGATGTTCAGTATGGCTTTCCTCACTAACTAGATGTGAATCAGTTGAGTGATGACAGTTCTGACTATTTTAAGTCAAGAATTATAGGATGATAAGATTTAGAGATAGCATCATTAAACCATTTACCAAGTTAATTAGATCAAGACAGTAATTTCGGTAGTCAGGAAAAAATGGTTCATGAAAACTAAACATATCTACTCATTCCGAATGCAGTAACAGGAATTGGAGGCAGGGGAATTGGTTATGTCTTACTTCCAACTTCTTTCACCCCAATAAAATTCATCCTCTGCATACAGAATGCACAATACAAAATAGCTACAATTACAATCCATGTAATGAATAATCAGTTTAAGCATAACAGAGTTTGAAGTCTTTTAATTAGATCCAATTTATGACTGCGATTTCAGTCACTTGACTGAGTTCAATAAATAAAAACATTTTCTTCCTGGCACAAAATCACTGAATATAAATTAGTAAATTAGCTCATTAACCACTGAAATTAAAGTATTTTAAAACATACTACTAATAAAATAATTACAGTAGTTCGAAACTGTTTGTTTTATTTATTGACATCCTTGTAGTTTTCCATCGTTTCACTGGGTCGAATCGCATGACCTATATTGACATATGAGCTGCTATGCGGATGCCTCGATATTTCCTGAATACTTATTATGATAATTAACTTGGTTGTGGCCAGCAGTAAAACAACGCAGAACTACAAGCACACCCATAAATAGTAATGACTTATACATACCCTTATACAAGAGGTAGCTTTCATTCGTCAGTGGCCTAATGAAAGACGCTTCGGCGTTTGAAGCGATGGGTACGAGGTTCGATTCCTAGTGGGGATAACATCATCTGCTGAAGTGTGGGTTCATCCAGTTGACGAGTCTCAGATATGATGAAATGCTCGTCCTGGATCCCATTACAAGTCACGAAGATGACTTGTGTGTATATCTGTTGTACTTCTGTATAAAAGGGACGTTCTAGTATCTGAGTCACTAATTTTAATATCATGGTTTTCTAACAGCTTAATGAGGCAAAACTTACTGAGAAGATAAAGACTATTGTCTGTGAAAACAAAGAGAACTTTAGTGTATTTAGTACCATTATTTGCAGCCTGAAATACTAGGTCATTGCGCGTTCGTTATTATGAACAAATTTTGAAACCCAAGTAATAGAAATAGAGGTCGGGTGATGATTTATTTGACCGTTGCAATAGTTATAAATTTACATTTAGGTGGGGAAAGGTGAGCCTAAATGAAGGCAAATACAGGAATCTTTCATCTATGCTTGTCATAGTGCTTCAGTGCATCTGCTTCTACGGTTAGACAGGAATAGGTTCCATCACCGTCCAGTGCATAATCTAATTGATTCTCTTCATATGTATGTCTTCATGCTTACAATATACAGATAGACATACAGTAGGGAGAGTAGGAACATATTTCTGAGTGGCTGGAGAAATAGCTGGACTTGGCTATTTCAAGAAATCTAGATAAACGCACAGTGATTTTCAGTGAAATATGCATGATAATATAGGTTGGAAAAGGAATAACACTTTGACGGGTGTTATTTGGTTGGAGGCAATCGGTAAAAAGCTGGTGTCCAGCCTAGGTTTCTTACTTCTTCGCAGTCGTCAGCAGGGCTTATCTGCAACTTCGAGAGAACTATTGTTCCCTAAGAGACTCGGACCCGCATCACCTTTTATTGTAGTCAGCGCCATTACCACTGGACCATGAATGATCAGGTTACATAAGCTGATTGATCATGTTGTCTACTCCTGAGTGGTGACCAATTTCTAAAATGTAGCCACTGGTAACGTCACTGACTTCAATAACGGGTGACACTGGTTCGAACCAAACAGGGGACATCAGTTCTTTAGAGGTTACAGATACCTCTACTGACGTATCAAGAAGCATGGAACCTGGGTTAGGCAGGACTTCCCGCTGATTACCTCCAACTAACAAACATCCATTGATGTATAACGCAGCCTTTTAGCTTGGTGGTCATATTACGAAATGACCGGTAGTATTCAGTCAGCACTCAAGACTAGACAACATGAGATTAGTTGCTCTCTAGTGACCGGTCAGTGAATAAGACTGAATAACAATCTCATTGTTCCTCTTCTTCAGTGTGCGTGGTGTATTATCTGGAAGGAGAAGTGAATTAAGAATATCCGCTTCTTAATGAAATAAAATAGAGCTAAGCAGAATGTGAATTTATGCAGAATAATGTCATTGGTCAGTTGACAAAAATTTTTCCAATTTATTTCTGTCAACTTTGTGCCTTCTTAGTCGGGTTATTTGAAGAAGACAGAAAAAAGAAATCATATACTTTATATTGACAGGTTGTATAGTTGAATCTTGGAGAAACAGGAATAACAGGAACAAACAGCATAATTTGTTCATAACTATGAGGCTCATGATTAAAGGGAAAGAAGCACACTCTTCAAGAATGCTGCTAACTTTGCAAACTGACTAGTTTTAGTCCTTATTTAGTAAACCATTTAATTATGTACCAAAAACAGATTTCCATCTTTTGAGGTCCTTTGTACTTTCATTTTCCCCCTGGTATATAGGAAACTAGACTATAACATTAAACAACAGCATTCAACTTTCACTGTTTGGGCTTTTCTTAGTTGGCCTTTTTGCTTACCTTGGCTCTCTATCACTAATCATTAAAATCAATTTCAATATTCTTTATTCAGTTGTTAAGGGTTGAAACAGTGAACCGGATGAATGAAGAGATTGTAGGAAGACTAAATCACGATGATAAAATGTAGTTACAAATTAACTATTTCTGGCATATTTATTTATTCAGGCATACTTTAATGGCTAAATTTGCTCACTGTATCATCTCAGTATGTGCAGAAGATTTCGCTTAACTTTAAAGTGGATCGAAACTTAATGGAAATTTTATCTCCTTTTTTGCCGGGTTATTCAAACGAAGAAGATTAACTTGTTAATCTCCATCGCTGATTTGATCAAAGTGGTTGGCATACGAGCTCCTATGCGGATGCCTCAATATTATCGGTATTCTCAGTTTTAATAATAGTGATGGATAATGGCTAGCATTGAAATCCAGGACCTACGTTTCGTCCTACAGGGGACTCAGCATTTTTTTCCAAATTTTTATTCTTATTTACTTTTACTGAAGTTCAGTGATTATAGTGTTTTATAGATTCAACATACATATTACTCACAACCAGATAAAGAATATCTAGTGAGATTGTCGATTGATTCTTTTGCTTAACAGGATTTTTTCTAACGTCAGGATGTTCTCTTTTAGATCTTGTTTTATAGTTTAGTTTTGAAAATTAAACTACATTTCCAAAACAAAAGTACATTTCAATGTTTCTGAATAACTCTAATACTTTAATTACCATTTCAGGTCTCCTTTCCAATTTGGAAACACGTAACTACATAATCCTGGTAAGTGATAAGAAAATAAATGAGTTATCAAATGCAGATTTCAATTTTAAGGTAGTGCTCACCATGCAGTGACATCAGTTAGAGAACCACTGAAAGCCTGAGAGCACGGAACAAGCATTTTATCCTTGTTTGGGACACTTCAGCAACACGCACTCACTATCCAGCTAAGGATTGAACTCAGGACATGCAGGCATCGTGGTGAACGCGTTAGCCATCTAACCATTGGGTTGGAGTTCAGTGGTCCACAATCATCTTACTTCTGTCAGTTCATGATACAGCGCGTCGATGCACCAAGTTTTTAAGTTGGTATCCACATCACTACTGACTGGTTGACCCCACAAGTCACGATTTCGTATTGGGACTTCAGGATACCCATCCTGAAGTATATTCTAAAATTTATAGAGATTTTTTCAGGGCAGTATTCACCATTGACTGGAATCAGTTGGAGGATCACTTAAAACTTTGGAGTACTTCAAACCTGTTTTGTCCCAGTTTGCGAACCCTTAGCAGTACACAACCACGACAACGCCGTAACTGCCAACAGGCAGATAACTACACTCCACCTCATCTGTTAGAACCATATTCACCCACCTACATAAGTAGGTCTTCGGCTGTCTGCCTTTCTTTGTATGACACAATTATGTTTTTCAGAATTTCGATGCTGTCGAAATCAATTTAGTGGTACATTCCTATCGAGTGTCACGCACTGCCGACTTTTTACCAGCTTCTTCTGTTAATATTTTTGGGATCTGCTATACACGTCATTGTACCCTCACCTTTACATTTATCTGCCTGGCTGTCTGTACTACACAGAAATATAGTTAGCGTATTTGGGTTCATAAACGTAGTTTTGCTGATTTTCGCTCAGTATTAACCTTGTGACTCTTATGAAGGCAGAAAAGAGTATTTGTTTCATATCCGCTAAGATCTGTTTCTATTTCTTTCAAGATCTTTCTACTATATGGGACTGTCACAGTATTTACTCAACTCTTCGGAAGGAGTTTCCGCAAATTTTTAATTTCCTTTCTTGATCAGGTTCAGAACTGTCAAGTCTATAAGCCAGCATATCATCAATTAGCCACTGTATTACATTCGAATGCTTCGCAGTTTTTAAGTAAAAAGTATTTACTTCACAGAGTGTTCAGTATGTATTTTCAAACATTAGTATTTATCACTACTACTATGTTCAATGTCTCCACAGGTAAAAAGATGAAGGGTATTAAGCATTGAATTCATGAACTGCAGTCATACTTTCCATCATTTCCTATATATTTTATCACATGTATGATTTCTTTCTTTTTTCCTCAATTATACTCATAGGCATTCATCATCATAGGCTTGTTATTATGGCTTATCGGTATTCTTGTGATTGGTTTGATTTGTTATCGCCGTCGACGTGATCGTAAAGCCTCTGTTCGTAAGAGGTGAGTGTGCTTTGTGAACAATTTATACTTTTCATAGTATTCTCCTTACTTCTCTGTACAGTGACACTGAATTTATCGCGATAGTTACAGCATATCCCATAAAAATTAATTCTGTGATACAAAAGATACTACTTAAAGTAGTTTTTGATGCAAGTTGAGATTGGTTGAATAAATTCTCAAAAAAAATTCAGAGGATTGTAAACATGTGTCACCCACTCTTAAGAGTTAGTTATTGAATACATTCATATTGTTTCTATGAGAATAACTCATTTTTATTATTTATTTGTCCCTTGGGTTCCTAGTGGAGCATAGGGCTTCAGTAGCACGTCTCTGCAATCTTTTGAACCTGGCTCCACGACTGCCAAGAGACTCTCATTTCTTCCTCACGTGATCTCAGTGTCACCGTCGGCACCGATGCCCAACTCGCCGTTTCCCATCTGGGTTCCACTCGAGTGCCTGGCTTGGCGCGTGATGTCCTCGAATGGTCTTTTCAGTGAATGCTTAATCCTTTTTATTAGAACCTTGTTGTCATGATCCAGGAGGAGACTGGTTCCCAATGAATGAAAGCCTTCGATGTTCTCGGGGACATCATGATAGCCACTCCCCCCCCTCGTGTTCTCATGGTTATCGTCTGGGTGACCGGAGTAGATTACTGACTCTCTGGTTGACAGTTTGGAGAGTCCACTTCCATTCCACCTGCTTTCGCAGATTCCTAGCACTTCTGTGCTATATCTCATCATCTCTTTGGCAATCTGGGCAGCCTTGGTAGGTTCAAACATAGTGTGGACATTCCATGTCCCCATCCTTACTTTCGCTCTCATCGAGAGAGAGGAGACACATGCGCCGACTGGCTCCCAGAAAGCTTTCACTAACTGGCGTCATTTCGTCTATCCGATTCCAGAGAGGAATAAGTTTGTTTTCATGTTTAACATTTTCTTTGTGCTTTGAAGTTTCTTTAGCGATTGGATTGGTTTTACGGGGTAGGGTTGCTAGTCCTATGCCCAACCTTCCCTCTTTACCTGGGCTTAGCACCGGCTAGTAACTATTGTACTACTTAACCAGGCGAGGTTAAGTGACGGGACACTCGGGTTTCGACCCCAGGCCTTCCAGCCTGCAGTCGACAGCTCTACCACTGAGCTGCATCCACGTCAGCTCATAACCTTCTTCTTCTTCTTCTTCTAAGAATGCTCTAAACTTGGTCAGAGGAGTTAAGGGTAATCTGGTCAACTGAAAAAGACTAAACTCCATGGGAATCTCAGAATACGGTCAATCCCGTTACAATGCCGGTGGTTAGGTACGTTAAATTTGATTTTCTACATTACCCATACAAGAATTTTTGACAATGACCGTAATTGTTGAACTACCAAGGAATAAGTCTTTAACAACAAGTAGTTTCAACATACTTTAAAGGGTCGAGAACAATAATATACAAGAGACGCAGAGCTACGGAAATGTTTTTCTTCTAGTCATTGATGAAACTGTTACTCTTTATTAATAACTTTCGAGACTCAGCCACTGTTCCATGCATATGATATGAAATTTGGATGTATACTACTCTCATCGTACTGATGTGTATACTTTATGTATCTCACAAAAGTCAACATCAGATGATACAGTTTTTTAAAAATTTATAGATGCAAACTGGATTTATGACCAAATCTAAAGTTCTGATTAGGAAATAAGCCTAAGCAAAGGTGTTTGTCTAAGAATTCAGAACTATGCCTCAGTCAATTTATCTGACCACTTCTTTACCTATAGTTTACGTGTGTTAAAGCAGAGGAATTCCTAGTTCAGCAGATGAAAAACTGTTTTTAAAACTTTAATATTTTATAACACTTTTAGATTATCTTTCATATGATAGTGAACGCATCAGTTGTGTTTATTTGAAGTGTGATATGTATTTAAAGAATTTGGTAGAGATTGTAACGTTATTGAAATTCTTGTTACTTCCTTAATGTTGAGACTAACATAAAAGTGTACACTTTTATCATTTCACAAATGCGTTTTATGGTGTTCCAGATATGTTTTAATTCTTCCGACAAAGTCTTGGTGTAAAAAACATTGCAGTTATTTATTTCTGAGGGTAATTAACACAAAACACACAGATAAACAGAAATACCCATAGTAGTCAGTAATATATATATATATATATATATATATATATATATATATATATATATATATATATATATATCAATGAGGATTGGAGGTAGTCAAGGGAACCCTGCCTCATATAAGATTTATGTTCGCTAGCAGTCATGAACAATGTTTGTCAATAACCTCCAGGGAACAAATGTTAATGCTAATAATTAATAATTATCCTCTACCACTGATTAAGAAATTCGTACGGACATATAAGAAACAAAATAATAACAGTAACACAAGTCCGAAAAACAACGATAACAAGAGTAGAAAACAGTTCACAGCCTCCATTGCATTACCCTATAGGGAAGCAACATCAGAAACTTTACGTGGGATTCTCAACAAGGCTAGAATTGAAGTGGCATTTAAACCAACAAACTCTCTCTGAGATCAGCTTCATTGAGTTAACGATCCTATAGAACCAATTAAGCAAAATAATCTAATCTATTAAGTCCAGTGTAATGACTGTGAGGTCAAGTATGTAGATCAAACTAGCCGGTTTGGGTCGGTTAGATTAGTGGAACACAGAATGGAATATGGGATGACAGACCCCACTAAGATCAATTATCTAGAACATCACTCAACTATTGGAATCCATGCATTTTCACTCAACCACACAACAGGGTGGGATAAGAAAACCAGTATAATTGGGTGGAGAGAGAGACTGATTACTGAATCGTCGAATCAACACCTAACACATGTAATACAAATGATACAACATCCATACCAGAGATATGAAGAAATAATTTTACTACCACTCAAAACAAATAATATGAAGTGACGGGACTACGAAAACCAGATATCAAAAGTAGTGTGATTACAATCATTTGATTATGAGCAGTGATAATTTATGCTTGAAACGTCATCTAGTAAATGATACTGCATCAGTGCGTGTTATAAATGAAATAAAATCAAATGTGGAAGTATGTTACCCTTGCATTTTTTATATCCTTAGTTTTATACTACTTAATATTAAAGAGTAGTTTAGTTCAAGTTTCCTCATGATGTTACCTAGTCGACGGCCTCGACTGTTCATTGTTGAATCGTATCTTGTTACCATTTAACGCCTCTAGAAATTGGTATTTTTCCCAGTTCGTGATGATGCTACAATTTCGTTATTTTCTCCTTGATTTTTTATTTTATCCTGAACATTTGTTTATCTTGCGTCTTTACCTCATCGCGAGGGCTTACGCAGGTCTTTTATATTCCCTTCTAATTGCTTGGACATAACCTTGGTGTTGACGAACTCTTTGCAAATTGTTTGATAGCGATAAACCTTCAGACACTTCACGATGAGAAGTTTGTATTTTTATTACTCAGTTTTGCTCAGTAGTTTCAAACAGTAGTTCAGACAAATCTTGTTCGGGATTTCGCACGTAACTCGAGCGTTTGCTTTATTGTTGGGAAGTAGCTTGTTCACTTTGGTTCCGAATTTCTCGGAAAGAAATTCCTATTTACATTCCAATATAATATTCACCGAAGCTTTCAACTTTACTCGTAATCATTTTTGGATGATATACTTTCTACTGTAAATTAGGACATGTTTTTAAAAAAATATATTTTTTGTTTACAGTGCTTTATGGACAAACATCAGTTATGAACCAAGTTCCTATCAAACAAAACATTTATCAATAACCGAAGACTTTTTACCCCAACATGGAAGTGGGAATCATCAAAATGAAATCAGATTTTTACCAAATGATCACACAGTTTATCCCTCATTGAAGAAAACTTCACCCAAAGGCGTACTACGAAACTCCTCCACTTTACCTCGAATTCCAACTGGTGAGCACTTTCAACGTAGATCAGTACGCTATACTCGTTCACCAAATGATATCTCCAGATTACGCTTTGGTACCATCTCTTGTACACCAGTAATTAGTCCTTCACTTTCAATGTGTACGCAACGTTCCACTCTATCACCATCTGAAAGTTGTCCACCAAACACCGATACATATGAAGAGTTGACATGTTGTTTAAATGACCATGTGAACTGGAAAAACAATTCACCATCACCTCTGAAATTGACAACTTTTCAATAATTCAATGTGTTCAATAATTTAGTTATCGTCTTCCATTTCAATCAGAAAATTTCATGAGATGAAATAATCAAAACATATTTTATACTGGAAAGCTATTCGACAATACTATGTTTACATTTCAAAGTTTCAACTTCATTTATCATTTGTATACATTTTACCTTTAAGACCAATAACTTAAATAAAATATCGTCATTTCTTTCAAACTTACTTTATTAATAAATCAGATATTCAACTTTGATTATTGTTAAATAAATATAATTGCCAAGGCATAAGAATACGCCCTTCCGGAAAATTTAAGGATCCCCATTAAGGTATACCTCGAGTGAGTTTGAGTAAGCAGCATTTTACGGTTACCAGATGAAGTTCATGAACCTCCTAAGAAAAATTTCATTCATAATTAACCTGAGTCGAGTTACAGACTTGCAAAATCCTCAGTTAACAAAACGTAACGACCAGTATGCGAAATATTATCATTCAGTTGCTTATCAAACTTTTGGTTGCATAATCTTTCATTTTCAAATGCTAAGAATAAGAACTCTGCTGTTTACTGCTGACTCGATTTCAAGCATTGAGTTTCACCCATTGTGAACAACAGTTAACTAAATAACTCATGAAATTTCTGAGAAATATTTAACAGTGTTCTACCATAACAGATTCAAACGAAAAAAAATTAAATCCTATCTCTATTGTCACTTTGATACAACATTGAAATTTATACTGTTCATATTTTAAAATTGAAGGTAACACAATGTTTTCAGTCCTTTTTCAAAGCTCAAGTAATGTGACTAATTGAAGATTTTATTATTTCTGCTAACTTATTGAAACGATTCATCAAAATCTACCTGGTTTTCATATTTAGTTGGTATCTCTTGAAGATAAGTAAGTTCGTTAGGACAATGACTATAAGGTAGGCATTTTGTAAAACAGGCTTAAAAATAAAATGTAATGAAAACTCATACTAAGAAATCGTCTGGTAGTGAAAATAAAAAATATTTAAATGTTTCTACATAAATCACCGCTTGGTCTCACCGTAAAAGAATACAAGTTAGGTGTGTTCAGTGGAGAAAAGCCTTTTCAGTGGGACTAAATCTTCTATGATTTTCAAGAGGAAGGAGGCAAATGATTATTTCACTCACTGTTTACCGCACAACAAGACAAACGCCACAATACTTATCTGTAAACTTTTGTCATACCACAAGAAACCAGTCAGATGGGTCAGGAAACTGACGTACTATACTTTAATGCCTTCCTCAACAACCTACATGTATTCAAAATGAAGCTCGTGTTCCATTGTTGGAGAGCTGACGATCTCTAATTTAAACTATTTTGAAGTAATCTAGAGTTAGCTTGTTAAGTATTCAGAAGATTAAAATTATTTGCTTCATTTGAGCTTCTCTTCATGGTTAGACCTAGAAAGCAAAATTCCGTTGTCAGTATCATTTCATTTGCTAAGGAAGATTTAAGATACTACCTGACTTCAAACCACTGTTCACCATTCACGAGCTAACACCCCTTCCAATACTTTTAATAAAATATGAAATTCACCCTAACAATATGATTCATCTACAATAGACCTGGCTAAGCATTTGCATTTCACCTAGGGCCAAATTAATTATGTATGCAAAAGTGAGTACAGTAAATTGTTACTTAGTCTCCGCACCACTATAATCTCTCCTCATTATAAGCAACGAATAGCCCTCATTATTGACAAGAAATGGCTACTAGTCACTGTGAAAATGTGAATGTAGTGGTAAGACACTAACTAAAAATACCGCTCATTGTATTTGAAACAATTAGTTTCTTTTGATAAATTTAAACAATGTAATAAAAAACCGGAGATTATTTGAAGCATGTGATTTATTAGTGTCATATATTTCAGAAAATCTCGTCAAACATGAGCTTGTTGAACGATTAGTATAATTAGAACAATAATTAACCTTTCTCAGTGTTTTATATAAATTATTCGACAGGTTCATATGTGATCAGATTGTTTGAAATGCATAGCGCTAATACAATGTATGTTTCAGATAATCTCTTTCTTCTCATAACTTTGTTTAAGCTCGTTGTATTAATCGTTAAGTCTATGGAAAGAATGCATAATTTTTTGAAGCCTGATTTTTGAATTCTATGGTACAAGTTTTGCATTTGTTCAATGAGTTCACTTGTTTATTATTTCACCGTGCCGTACATTTTTGACGGTTTATATACCCGAATCACTTATGTATATTATTGGCATTAAGTGACGGATAAATCATATATCGAGCAAGGAACATATTTCATCATTAACTTTAAGTCTACAGAAATGAAGAAACTAGTTACAGTGGTCAGTTCGACTCCTTGTGATTTCCAGTGAGGTAAAGATTCAAATTTGTTTTGAAAGCACCATTATTAGACGGTGAAGCATCACGTCTTTTTGAAAGAACTTCAGCGGATTACAAATGGATGTGAGAAATAGTCTTCCTTCAAATGTCACAGTAATTTCTTTACAGGTAAACATTTCAAAAGAGGAATTTTTAAGGAGAATTACCATGCAGTTAACTTTCGAAGGTAAGATATACTGAAGTGAGATCTACAAACATGGAGTAAAGGGGAATAAGATAAATAGACACCAGGAGACAACAAAGAATCAATTGAACTATTGTAGAAGTTGTGAATTACACAGATCGACTAAACTATCAATTTGAAGGGGTTAAGAGCTTAAGGACTTGTTTGCAGAACATTTAGCTGTATTGGTAACAAATTTACCTTGAAGCTAACGGAACTTTGTTTCGTAAATGTTAATATCGTGGATTTAGGCGAAATGATTCTGTCACACTCATCAAGTCATTTGCTCACATTATTTAATCCTTTTAAATGCATTTTAACGTTAAGCGTTGAGCCCAATCTTTCTAGACGGAACAACGGTATCATATTACTTGGGTTTCTATAGTTGACTAGAAGCATCTCCGACATAGCATTTGTATACTAGAAAATAAGGAAACTCGGAATAAACAATTTGAAACTTTTTATTGTCTTCAGTTGAGTTGCCTTAGTTGCAAATAACTAAGTAAATGTTTTAATATTCCTTTCGTCATAAAAAAAGGAGAAAAATTCAGCCAAGAAACATCTATTTCTCAGTGATATCATTTTTGAAGCTGTACAATCGTATTTGCATGCGTATCCCAAAGGTGTTACTCTCTATTACTCGACAATAGGATATGGTTACATCATTAGGGAAGTGATAAAACTGAAATAAGTAACGGAAAGGAGTTAAATAATAACCTAGTACACACAATGCAAGTAACGAGAAAGGTGAAAAGTTTGATAAGATGAAAAGTGTTGATAGCTGTGAAATACAGTTGCGAAGAAAAAACAAGGGTCATAATAAAGACAATTATAGAAAACTGGTTAATTATGATGAAAGCGAATAAGGACAAATAAGGAATTGAAGTATCATTCTTGTTCTCAAAGAGGTCAGGCCTGAACAAATGAACTGCCAGAGCTTCTGCTGCACACAAGATCTGAAATCTGGCTCCTTACGAAGTATTTCCTCTTACAATGTAGATTAAATTGAAAGAGGATTCTGGTGGGAATATATGGCTAGAATTAACCAAGTACTTAAGAGTTAATCTGTTAATTGCTTTACAATTCTTCCCCCTGATAACCGTGAGAAACAATGTTCAGAGATGCATTTATTGGCCTCCATATATGTGAACGACAAGAAGAGTTCTTTTTCGGCGGAAATAAAACAGTTACAAGAGGTGGCTATCTTGTTCCGGTGGCTTAGTGGAAAACGCTATGGAGTTTGAAGCGGAGGGTACTGCGTTCGAGCTTCTGTGGGGACCACATCACTCACTAGGATACAGGTAAATCCAGCTGACTAGCCCCAAATAAGACGAAACACACGCCCTGGATACCTTTACCAGTTGCCGAGATCTATGTAACACCAGTTACATAAGGGTTGGTTTTCTTCAGTATACTAACTCCATGTCTACATTTGCTTCATTACTTAGAAGATAGTAAACAGAGTTTTTGAGCTTATGTTTGGAAGCTTTTGTTTGTGATAGAAGTCGAGTTACCAGCGATTTCAGCCTACATAATATCTCAATGCTGTCACAGTAGTGAGTATTTAAAAATAAGAAGGAATAACACAACCTACTGTAAATACAATCACTTAACAATACCGCGAACTTTGATATCAGGGAATCACAGGAAATATATGAATAATAAAATTAATATGATAGTTATTTTAGCAGTCAAGATAAATTTAAAACTATTTTAATTTTTACCTCTGTTTATAATGGGTGTTTAATCTAATCTTACTTGATACATAAAAAACAACAGAAAACTTGAGAAGAATTGGGACTACCATCAGTTTCAAGCCAACTGGGGAGATATTAGAACAACGAGTATTTTTATCTCCTGCAAGCTACCTTAAAATTTTCGATGCATAGACATGTATTAACTCATTACGATTAACCTCTTTTTCATGGTAACGTACCGTAAAATTATATCCCACTCACTAATTTCAGTTAGTACACGGGTTCGAAAGTACTGTTCTGTATGGGAACTACTGCAGCAGTTTGAAATGGATGCATCCAAGCCAGACAAAATGGCAAAAACAGCTGTTCACCTAAATAGCAGCCTTTATTAAATCAACAGATATCAGGAGACTTTCAAGTTACTTACACGAAGCTACCGTTAGATACAAGCCAATTCACCAAAAAGCTGTTTGCTGAATAAATTTCCATCTCGAAACCTACAAGTTTGCGGCATAACTGCTTGGATCAAAGTCTAGCGTATCTGAAAGTCTGCGATCAGACAAACAATACAGTGATAGCAAAGCTAAGTGTGACCGTTTTAAGTCCCTTGTCTTATCCGCAAGAAATTTTCCTCATCTACCACACCTCCGCCAGTACTTATGCCTTTATCTACATACATCAGATTTCACTACATTTCACCGCCGATTTTTAATCTACGTACGAGCTCTTTACTGATTTCTAAAGGAACTTTATCCTTCC